TCATAGTATTCAGTGATCGTTGTCTTTAGTTCGTTTACCTGACAAGGAATAAGGTTAAACAAGTCAGTCTATGTATGGTACAACAGTTCATCTGATGGTTAAGATATGCTGATTAACTTGTGCATATCATTTCTCTTATTGACATTTGAATCCAAATTCATGTAGGAAAAACGGAAAATTTTTCTACGATTGTCAAAATCACAATATTTTACAAGTCATACTGCAATGCAAATGAAAGAGATTAAAAGAAGTCTATGATGTATTTTTGGCAATAGGTCTGTTTGATCTGAAGTCCGTTCCGCTGCAAATGTTTGTGTTTAAGGCAGAATATCTTTATCGTTTCAGATGACGCCGTCGGCATACCTTTATTTTGTTGGTCTTTGGCTATGCTAAAACTGATGTGATAGCCGTTCAGAAATACTGAACAGAAAACAATAACTTAAGTAAGAAACTTTATCCCGATGTTATCATTAGCTCTCATAACGACAATGTCAGGGTATATGATAACTAAATTACCAAATCATGAGCCGAACAAGTGGTTTTAGATTTAACGCATCAATGAAGCAGAACAAGCTTACCCTTCCGTAAAACCTGGTCTTATGTCCCTTGTTCTGTTACAGGAGTCCTGGAATTATTTCCATTGTTCATATTTCGCCCTAATTTTATTATATTTGGGTTATGATTACATGAACAAGATATGTTCTTGTTTTTATGTGCCGTGTAAAATTGTACAACACAAGAGAATAGGACATTTTCATGATTTAGAGTGAGATGAAGTAAATCCAAGCCATGAATTAAATTGCATCATACTGCTGTTTCATCCTTCTAGGACTCGTATATTATTTCAATAGCCTAAAATTGGAATTGCAGCAGTCCCATAATAAGATAAATTTCGGAATTTTCAGATAATTTTCGAAATTCTCTGGTTTCAGCAAAGGCGAGTTTGAATCTTATAGTTAAGCTGTTACCTTTTTTGTGGTAAATAGGGAAATCACAAATGTGAAATACCCTGAAGAAAATTGTCGATCAATTTTCTAATGAGACGAAAGGGAATAAATGAAAATTCGTTCAACAATTTTCAAAGTAAAATTTTCTTACTTAATTGTTAAATCATTATCGATTCATCGATTCGGCAAAAGTTACTGAATCTAACAACCTACTGAAAGAAAATATTTCGGAACCAATTATGAGACCCCGAGCAGTTTGGTAGACGTTATATTTTATAAAATTGTGCTGCTAGAATAAAAATCAACGAATTTGTGAATGATCACATCATTTGAGAATACTTGAAGGCAAACACATTTTCCATTAGCTATATTTACCTTTTATATTTTGTTGCTATGTTATTACAAGCAACTTGTCTATGAACAAATATAGTACATTAGTCATGTAAATAATCATGAAACCTGGCTGTCCATGAGAATAAGAAACGTGCAAAACGATACCAATTCAGTTGACCAGACTGACATCTAATGCTTTCACGACGTTGTTTTGACATTTTTGATCTTAATGTATACAATATTTTGTAAACTGGTCCACATTGAACAGAATCGAGGGCAGTGTATAGGTTTCGTACGATATGCGTACAGCACGTTAATCTTTTAAAGGTCAATCTTATGATGTGATATGTATGCCGAACTGATTTGATGGATTTCGTCAGTAATTCTGGTTGTTACTCATAGGGTCAATATCATGTCCCTAAAACCTAGCACCAGTATATAACATTTTATTTGTTATCAGTAATATAGATATATTAGGGTTAAGGTGGCAAAGATTCGTAGGCCACAGTGTTTTCAGAATTATGAATTGAGTAGATGGAAAGTGTTGCTTGCATTACTGGAGCATTTGGTCTTGTTCTTCTTTAATTATTTATGTCTTGTCATATTTATTCCAGTTTCATCGAATCGGAGTTTGAATTAGTTTTTTTTTATTTTTATTATTTTTATTTCTTTTTTTTTCAGAAAACCTTCATTTGAAAAGGAGCGTCTAATGCCTTCTGATCCGATTCTAAATATTTTTCATAATTAATTTCAAATTCATCCAGAGATGACGCGACAGCGAATACAACATTTTGATATCTACATAACTCGCATTTGATATGTATAAGATAATTCACATTTAATGCTTTATAAATTGTAAGTTTTAAATGGAAGATGTTAGAGCTGAATATCATGTTGCAGCAATTTTTTATAACAAATTTGCCTTTAAATACAATTGTCAGATCGCACAGGGTTATACTATAAGCGATGATCGACTTCAACACAAAAGTACACGATGAAAGGTTTGGGTAGGTTATGGCTTTGTATTACTTTCATTATAACGGTTTCAATATACACCAACCACACGTACATCCTTATAAGTACATGATAAATCATCGACAGGGACATGATGTCCGATAAGGTAGGAAAATGTGAGATGTTCGTTTCTTTTTTGTGTGATCGTAAAATATGCGCGTTTATTTAGCATGAGGTTGTCTTGTTATGTGATGGATAGCTTTTAGAAAAATCTACTAAAGCCATTCATAAAACGTTGATTTAATACTTTAATTATACTTTAATTCTCGTTTTCAGCTGCAAAAACACAGTGGCTTAAAGTAAACACCATATGCATGGCTTATACCTCACATCAAATGTTTTTGTTTACTTGTTTGTTTTTATTATCGGATGCTTATTCTGATGATATTCAAGGCTACATGTCCTGTTAAGATTCATAACTATAAAATACTGTTTGTTTTTATCATAAAAAGATTGTCACGTTGATTCTTTACTAGAAAATATTTTTGTTGGTAAAACATTTCGTGGTTTTCCTAAAACAAAAACTATTTAGTGGTCTCCTGACATTCTTTATGTATAGTTTTAACAAAAATCCTGTGATATTAAACAACTTTGTTAAGGTTGCAGATTCGTCGACATCTTTTTACAATGAATAATATATACCATCTAATTCAACGAATAGTAACCACCACGAAAACAAAAACAAAAATTAACAGCATTACACCTATCAAACTATACAAAATATGTCAGACGAAGCAGAATGAATTGAATGTCATTGTCATGATGTAACCATTTGAATGAATATACCTTGTTTTCAGCAGGATTCAGTCATAATAATAAGATAATAAAGCTTAATGATTTCGTTCCTTTTTATTGTAACAATTTTTAGAATACAGAAATGTGACCTGCACATATCATATAACGTGGATAAAGCATGTTGTAACAAAACAAAATATTATACACTATCCATATTTATAAACAACAAAACATTTCAATAATAAAAGTACATTAAAAACGTTTGCTTGCGACTGTTTGTCAATATCACAATGATCGCACAAATGCGATCTCAATATTTTTATAATCGCCTCACTAGCAATTGATAAAAATTAAAAAGCGCTGATATTTTTAATACATACACTGTTAGTCTACATATTCAATCAAATTGAAATTCTCATGTATAAAAAATATCACATCGCAATGTGCACCATTGAAATAGCAACTCGACACACGCCGATAACTAAAGCTGAACTAAAATGTGTATTTAACCAAATTCGTTTTACCGTCGTGATATAAGGAGAAGATTTGCGACATTTTATTTTCTTTCAAAAAGTAATTTAAAGATTGAAATATGGATTCATTTTCAACCTGAGTACAAACAAAATAGAAGGGTAATCATCTGTTTGGCCGTATTTAAATCCTATAAACATAGAACATTAGTGAGATGTCCTGTTACAACGTCAAATTGGTCTCATGCATCGCTGGATGATTTACACTGAGACTCCTCAAATCGTAGAAGAAGAATAAGACCAGGTGTTCCGAAGAGTAAGCGTCTGCTGCTTCATTGACAAAACCAGCCATGTAAATTTTGGTAACTGTTTTTACATTTGAATTTGATTTTCATTTGTTCAGTTGTCTGTACACATAGATACCAGTTGTTTGACAGTGTGTGCACGGTGTGTAAAGTATAAATATTTCATAATTATGACGAATAACATTTTCACAAATCAGTGGATTTTTAAAATGAGTTAATGAGTTTGTTTGAAAGAAATAAGAAATTGGATGTACTTCAACAAAAGAAAGCAAACTACCGTCCAGCGGTGATTGGATTGAACAATGGTAAATATGATAAGAAATATGAACGAGTAAATACACAACATCATAAATAGCCACTTTTTGTTGCCTTGTGTCGTTATAATGTTGAAATTACAAAAAGATTGTCACAGCATCTTGTACACAGCAACACTATGACAATTTAAATCACGTTACATCACATGATCGCTCACCATTCAAACACGCATCCAGGTTTTACAAGTGGAATCGTGATTTTTTATGATTAAAATATATTTTGTGTGAAAGGGCAGATTTAGACAACAAATTAAAATTAATTTCAAAAAATAACAAACAAATACAAATGAGGAGACAGACGAACTGAAACGCACTATAAACTCAGCAACGTAGCAAAATAGATTTAAACATTTTATATGATAAATGTCTAGTTGATATTTCATATTTTGAAAAACTGTTTTATAACTGGCTACTTCAACGACATCGCGAATAATAACATTAGGATGATTTCACGTAAATCATTTCAATTCTCCAATAGAATTATTCAAAAGGAATCAGAAATGATTCAATGATTATTCAAGTATTCTCAAAACTATTATAGAGTTCATTTTCATTTTCTATAACTTTAACAGGTTGAATGATATTTTAGGACGGATAAATAATAAGTAGAATTAATCACACTACTAATAACAGAACTTACTTAAACGTATCTCAAGGCGCGGCTAATTCAACTAGCAAGACATCTGCCTTTCCATTACATTTCGGTAATTCTAAACGCGCATGTGTAGACAAATAGACAGCTATCACTTTTTATAGAATAAGATTTCATAGTCCTAAAATAACTTTTAAATTGAAATTGAAGGTTTAATTGTATTATAATTTCGACTGCGTTCTAGTTAACAGGGATCGTGGGTCGCATACAAATTAACGAATGCAATTATATTAGTGCAAATGAGGAATATTAGTAGGTGTGTCACTGTCCATCTGTAGGCCGTGATTTCTATATCCACTAAACAACATTTTCTGTGTCAGTAGTGATGACATTTGTGCATTGTAAATTCCTGGTGTGTTCGCACGAACATTGCGTGGTGGAGGCGACGATGAAGTATTGAGCTCAGAATGGTATGGAATGTTAACCATGACAGGTGTCGGCGCTGTTGGTCCTGCTGGCATCTTGCCATTATACGCGTCCTGAAAACAGAAAAGAAAGCGTAACTTAATTATTTTTTTTTTTTTTGTCGTTAAATTTACCTCTCGGATTCCTTTCAAAATTCTTTGACACCCTCGAAAAATGTAAACAGGAAAAACCTATAATACTAAAGCAGCCTTAATAAATAGTTGACAACGACAAGAGCAATAAAAACAAAACAACCTAATAATAGAAAAGCAATACAGCACAAATAAAACTGCAATCATCACTATTCTGGATTTTGATAATCAAAAACGGTTTAGATTTTATCAGAAGTCAGGTAAGGCATCCACTGATCAAAATTTTGTTTGTTTTCATTATGCATTCATCACAACTTATGTATTACATAAGCCCGTATATTCCTTAAACTTACAATCTGGTTTATGAACGTTTAAATCACGCAAAGGGTGCATCAAGCAAGTAGTTATATATGATTCTAACATTTGTGAATGAGCAGCAACGTTCACAAATATTCATTGTGATAGATATCACCTCAAAGCTACTAGGGTTGCAGTACACAGTTTCTCGGTGTGGCCATGGGTAGTGTCTTTATTCATTAGATTACCCCATTATGAAGGTTTTATTTAAGATTTAAAAATAAATCCTTGCTAAAATTGGTAATGTCATATTGAAGTGTCTACGCACCAAAACAAGCTTTACAGGAAGTGAAATGTTCATAGTGTTTACACGTGGTCATGTTGTGAAGTTGGAATTTGCTGAAATATAAGTAGTTTGTTACCGTGACAGTGTTGTTGGTTTTAAGACCGGTGTTTCGTCTCCTCGCGTGACAGGCTAGGTATATTCCAACAGCGATAAGGATGATGAGAAGTAACCCTGCCACGCCCACAGAAACTCCAATCACCAACACATTTATCAATTCGTCTGAAACAACATACATCAGTTCTTTGAACAGTTGTCGACAACTGACATGTTTTTTTTACACAAGTAAGGTTGTGAACCATATTGAAAAGTTAAATCATGTCAAAATGAATTATGAATTAGAAACTCACTACACATTTTGACAACAGCCAGACAAAATAGTGCCATCGCTACTATAACACAGCATCACAACACTTATTTGGCTGATAGTTAATACATGTCCGAAGTAGGCAATAATACTTGCACAAAATTAAAGTACAAGTATATGCAAAATGTGTCAAAGTAACATTGCTGTAAGTTTTACTTACCTGTCTCCACAGCTGCTTGTGTAGTTGAAGACATCGCTGTCAGTGGAGTTGTACTAGTTGTTGTAGATGTACTGTTTGTAATTGGGCCGATGCTTGGAGTGGAAGTTGAAGTGGTAGTCGTGATAGGAGTTGTAGTTGGTGTAGTGGTTGTTGTGGTAGGAGTTGTAGCTGTAGTTGGTGTAGTGGTTGTTGTGGTACGAGTTGTAGTTGGTGTAGTGGTTATTGTGGTAGGAGTAGTAGTTGTAGTTGGTGTAGTGGTTGTTGTGGTAGGAGTTGTTGTTGTAGTTGGTGTAGTGGTTGTTGTGGTAGGAGTTGTTGTTGTGGTTGGTGTAGTGGCCGTTGTGGTAGGAGTTGTTGTTGTAGTTGGTGAAGTGGTTGTTGTGGTAGGAGTTTTAGTTGTAGTTGGTGTAGTGGTTGTTGTGGTAGGAGCTGTTGTTGTGGTTGGTGTAGTGGTTGTTGTGGTAGGAGTCGTAGTTGTAGTTGGTGTAGTGGTTGTTGTGGTTGTAGTAGTAGTTGGTGTAGTGGTTGTTGTAGTAGGAGTTGTAGTAGTAGTTGGTGTAGTGGTAGTTGGTGTAGGTGTTGTTGTAGTTGCAGTTGAAGTGGTGGTTGTTACTGAACATGAACCACAGCATATATCTAGATTGGTCTGACTATAAAACTGACAATTTTCTGCTTTGCATTGTGGGCTCCTGTCGCCGTATTCACATCCTGAAAATATAATTTCATTTTCGTTATTTTACATGTATATATACACGCCATTTACTATTTCATAATGTTATTAGTCATATCATCAATGATTTTACAAAAGATACACGTGTGAGCAACATATTTTGATACATATGCAGATGAGTAGAGCCAAGGAATGTACAAAACTGCAACATACGGTTGTTTCGTTTACCTAGGATTAGTCAGCGAGGTTAAGGGCCTAATTGTTAATCACGGGAGACAACTGTGGAAAAAAACAAAAGTAAATTTCGTATTTTTTTTTATATCAGATTAAGTTTTTAAAAAAAAAAAATCGGATGTATCAAATCGTGAAAAGCAGATTGTCGCAAACCTCCTCCAGCAGTGTCTCCCAACTGTTATCACAAAGTTTGTACAAAAGACACAGACGTGAATAGCACATTTAAATGTGAATAAAGAAAAGATACAGTAGCATAAAACGAACAATAAAACATCGATTTAAATATTTTAAATCAACTTTTACAATACGGAGTACACTACACAAATGATATCATTAAAGTGTATTACAATTGTACCTGGAATTCCGGTGTAGAGGGCGCCACATGTACTACAGCAGTAACTGTACCATCCCGTGGAGTTACAGTTGTACTTATTAAGTTGTGCAATACTTTCGCAGGTGTGGCCCGACGACACTATTCCAGATTGATCTCCAAATGGACACATGTCTGTAATAACCAAGATTCATATAATTTTGGGAATTATATGCAAAATAGGCTTAATGAATTTAGGCAAGAAAGCAAAGGTTGGATAAAGGAGTTTTCCCAGAAATCTTTGCTTTGATTCTTGCTTTTTTTCTTTCTTTTTTTCATTTTTGTTTGTTTGTTTTTGTCTGAAAAAGGCTTTTCTGATTATCTTATCTTATCAAAATGTATCCATATGTTTCATCTTTATGTAAAATCCTATATATGTGGATGTTATAACATTTGATATAACGTGAGTTAACAAGGGGAGGCAATCCTTACATAATGCATTGAAAGCATACATGATAGGATAGGCTACTTTATCTAGAGAGGTTTGCTTTAGTTTTATCTGATTATTAGTTATCTACTTTATCTCTTCTTTGCTTACCTGATACGCTCGGTGCTGACATGTTGGATACACAGGCTCCTTCCACACACCACTGAAACACGATGAAGATGTTTTGAATAGAGGTGATAAATTATAAAGACACAGGTACTTCTTTTACGTGCCCTCCAGTATATCAATCCAGTACAGAAAATGTACTTTACATACCTTTCGAACACGTTATGTACATTAAAAGCAATGTTTCTGAATACTGACCTTGTTTTTTCCACAGGAGGTACCGTCAGCGGGAACGTGTTCAGAGCAGAAGCCGGACCCGTCTGCCAAGGAACAATACATCCTGTTACATATACTGGAGTAGTCCTGGTAGTAGAACGCCTGAAAAATACATTCTAATGAAGTCATCCAATATCAGAAGGAAAATATTTAGACTTCCTGAATAATAGTGTTAGTGTGCAACCCGAAATAATTTGATATTTAAGTAGATCAGTTCTGATTTCCCAGACTTTTAATATCAAAACCTCTAACATCTCTGACCAGTCCTAGAAAGATGAAACAGTTGAATGATGCAGAAAAATGCAGAATAATTCATTATTTTGCTAAAATGTATATTATTTCGTTTTTTCATGGATTGATATTCCATTGTGTGTGTGGTTTTTTTTTTTTTTTTTTTTTTTGTAATTCTTTACAACGTTTTAATAAAGGTATTGCAATGAATGTATTTGTAAAAGATGGCTCTAGTATAAGATAGTAATCTGACATATCCGAAACAACAATATCATATTCCGTCGTGAAAATATGATATTGCAAAATCCGATATTCTGGTTTTGACACAATGGCAAATTTGTAAAGGTAAAGTAAAATGAATTCGCCATAGTTTACAAATACAAGTTCCTTTACAGCATCAAACTATTTTACTAATGTGTCCTTTCATTATAACAACATTACAATATTACATACCCTGCAAAAAAAGGAGTTCTCGCCAATTATGTGTCTACATTGTTCATCTGCATCATAGATCTGACCAGGGATAAGTTGATCGTATGGTGACAAGGCCGTAGGGTCAAAATTTGCACTCAAGGAGGTTAAGCAATTCGACCCCAACCTGAAATGTTATTTTTATCATTATTATTGCATTCTTAACGGCCAGTCAACACATTTTTTATTCAAAATTTAAATATTTTTTTTGCATCTCTTATATTTTCCAAACATTTATGCAAAGACATATTAATTACTCCCTTTCACTCATAAACATAAATACTTCTACTTGAACACTTAACATCATCGTCATCATCATCATCCTTATTATACACATCATCATCACCACACACAACCATCACCACCACCACCACCACCACCACCACCACCACCATCATCATCATCATCATTGTTGTTGTGAAAATAATTTTACACTAAACACATTTATACATCGCTCTGCATATGACATCATACATAATCACGTCTCTATCCGGAAAAATATGTGTCCATTATGTTGTTGTCTACTTACTCGAGCGAGGCGATAAAGGATTGAAAATCATTAACACTACATGTAGAGAACCTCCATGGATTAGATGCTGTTGATCCTAGGTGAATGACACTCGTAGCTGCCATAATATAACCATCATTAAATGAACAAGAATTTCCCTCCCCATCGTGTGATGCACCCAAACTGCAAAGAAAACGATAGTCATCTGTCAAAGAAATACAGGAGTTATGCCTGCAAAGTAAACATTGTACTTCCTATAAAACAAACTTCACAGAAACATTATGTTCAGAATGATCTGATTACAATATGAAAAATACGTACAGCAATTTTAGAAAACAAATGTAGAAGTTAAATGATATATTATAACCGGGTATGTTATTTGATTTGCAAATTCTCCAACGAATTACCAACTTCACTGTAAAGCAAAAGGCAAAAATAACAACAAAACAAATAAAAAGAAAAAAGACAAATAAACGAAAAGACACGAACGATAAAGAAACAGTGTTGATAAATAGATATACAATACCTACCTATGACCTAGTTCGTGAGCTGCGATTGTCATTATACCAAAATCAAACAAATCTTCTACCACTGATTGCTTACTGGATGAACACATCCCTTCTAAATAAGCTAGACCTGTTGATAATAGATGTACAATGTAAAAAAAGCAAACTATGCATGCAGTTGCTGACATAAAACAAAGGATTATATTAAAGGCACGTTTATATGACACCTACTGTAAATTATTATATGATTTATATAAACTACACGATATTGGAGTTCTCAATATCTTTTTTCAATTAAGATGGTTTTACAAAGCAAAAAATCCTGTGGAATAAATCAACTAAATGATGGAAGAAATTAAGTAAATGAAGCCACCTACTTTTAAAGATTGTTTCGTCACCACTAAATGAAAAAGTAAAAAAGCACAATTCAGTAACCCCCTATCTTTAAAGAATTGTTCATTGCTGGTAACCTACCTGCTACTCCACTATCACCGTTGTTGAAAAAGTCGTATCTGAAAAATAAATATCACTTATGATTGTATATGGTATTAACTGAAAGTGACATACATTCTCAAATCTATATCTATATCGCGGCTGTCGCGGTGAAGATAAAATTGAACATTGAGAATTGAACATCAGCTCTTTTGTTCATGTACTATTACAATCACTATAACAACATTAAAAGCACAAGATTATATTCATGTAACTATCGATTACATTTATTACTTCCGGTACTCACTTAGTGAACAACATCGCATGATCATGACCTGGAAGACCGGAAGTACTTTGTTCCCATGTCCGGAATTTAGTCAAGACTGTATCAATATCTACAGCATAATTATTGCCGTTTGGTATTCTATCTTCCGTCCATGTTGATGTTGCTAAGCTCTGCAAGGTCGAGAAATAGCATTGAAGTAGGAACGGATTTGTTAATAATAGACGTATTTGTGAAGATTGTCGCATATAATGGTACTCGTATGTTGATCAGCAGATGCACTGCTTCAACGGAAAGATAGAATCCAAAATTACGAAGCAGAATTATTTTTTTGTGAGAAATCCTTTACATTAATCATTTATTTTTACTTTTAAATATTAGTCCTTTTTCCCTTAATTTTTGTTTCTAAAACGATCAAATTTAACAAGTCCTTGTACTTACGTCTGATATATATATGCCTGCAAAAACCACACTGATGGACATCGAGGATGATACGATACTCCTATAACGAACATCAATCTAAAAATAACAAGAATGAAATTATATTGTCATCAAAGCATCAAATGTTCTGTATGCAGTTGGATAATATTGTCTGTCAGTAAGAATCTACATTATATGTATTTTAGTTTCTATTTTGTAAGGCGCTTAAATAATACTTTAAGTACGAATATTAACGATAGCAAAATGGAAGCATTTTTTCACTCTAATCATAACTCGAGGCACGCCTTCAAAACCAATATAAACGCATGCAGGATATTCCGCCTCGTTGTCCAAGGCTGGAAGCATCGTCTTGTTTTCGCTATTATCATCGTACCTATCTGTTGTTGTCGATTATATTCGTCTAACTTATCACTCTACTTACGAAATCATACGATCAATTAATCGGATAATTCCCCAGATATCAACATATCAACGTTTATCAACTTTTAAGTGTTAATATGGAAATTGTTTTTTTCTAATATTGAACTAATTGCAAATAGTTTAAATGGCGTGGAATTTTCGCTGCAGTTAAACTTAAGAATTTTGCTTTTGTGTAAATAGGAAGAAATTTTCGTTTTTTTTTTTTTTTTTTTTTGTTTATGTTTTTTTTATCGTAAACTGTTCTTGCCTAGCGTGAATTACACGAGCTATTTTAACTACTTTGAAATAGTGCAGTAATAAATAGAACAAATACTTACTGCATTAATGACAAAAGAATAAAACTGACGAACGGATGCTTTTGCCTCCTCGTCTTTCTCTGATGTCGTTGTTGCTGTGCTATCATCATACCAACTACAAAAGAAACAATATTGTGTTGAAAATATTTCTATTAAAATGCTGACTAAATTATGTTGTCACCTAATACCTGGTCGGTTACCAGAAATAAACATAATCGGTTTTCAGATGTCCTACTTTCCGCTATTTGTTGATTAAACATATGCTTACTGAGGGGGGGGGGGGGGAATCATATTTATAACCTTTAAAAATTACACACAAATAGTATACCTTGTTGTAATACACGAAAACCTATTCATATATTCTCTGTTCATCTTGCCTGCAGAAAGGAACGTAAATATTTGAATATGTATATTTCCCGAAGCATTTTCTTCTGCTCGGTACAAATACATTGCGTACCACTGCATTCTGTAAACTTAATCTAAATCATAGATATTCCTCTTGGCACTGGTACTAGTTTTAAGGATACCGCTTAGTGTAAATATTGAATTTAAAATACAGCAGATATTATCGCCAAGAAACTCGATAGCATGTATCAAAATTCAACTTCAAATGATGGATCAGCAGTGTTCCTACGTCATCACGGACAAAAGGCAGAACTACAACTTAATATATAAGTGATGATTTTCGCGGTTATGATAGTTTTCACTGTTTCGCTGTAAAGTGACCTCGAAAATTAAATATTTGAACGAATAAATCCCGCGTGTATTAGATGCTCCTTTGCATGCAGGTCGCGAATTCGTCATACATTTATACATAATTCGCTCGTTTTATTAGAAAATTACAAACTGCACGATAATGCATTTTAAATCTTGTGAACGGTATTGTTTGGTACAGCAACAAAGATCCCTTTAGATACTAACACGTATTAAATTCTGTAGAATATCATTTATTTGTGTTTCATCTTCGCATATATCACTTATTTATCGCCACTTTAAAAGAGATGAACACTACCTAGTCCCTTTTACACCTTCATCTGATGTAGTTTCTCCAAACCGACATACAAGATTCACAAATGGTTAGGTATTCAAGGCTAGATTTATCATCCATTTAACATATGACTGAAATTTCCTCACAAAGAATGGCCATTATATATACATATCGTAAACTGGCGTTTCAGTACCTTTGATAGTGCTGACCAGTATTTGTGTGATATCTAGATATCTTTGTATGGTGCTCACATAATAAAGGACTAAAGGAGAGAATAAATTAGACCATGATGCCTCAGAAAATGTTTATCTTATATACATCGACATAAGTATAAAAGCGATGAACCGTAAATTTTATAAATAAACATGTTTAAGTCAATGCAGTATAGTAATCTATATAAGCTTTAGTGCAAAGTTGGTTTAGAAAAGACGGCAAATCACATAAGTATATATGACAGATGTAAACAGGAATAGATATCTGATTAAATTTCATGATAATGCACAAAACTGCGACAAAGATGTGAGAGTAAAAAGCACTCAAAAAATGCTCTTAACTCGATCTTACATAGGTAAATAGCTAAACCAATCCTGAAATTATGCAAATATATGCGTGTGTATTCTTTATCAGCGTCAATCCTCTTTCAAATACATTAAAACGTGTCCTTAGGTAACGAAAGAGGCACTTCCTACAAAGTGACAGCATTTATATCACGAATGACTATTTGAGTCTATTTAAACTGGTCTGTTCTTCATTACACAAGTGTGTATCAACAAATCTATCAAATTTATGCAGCAACGCATAAATGGTCATGTCTTGTATTATTACGTATTTCTTGACTGCGAACAGCATGTAATAAGATTGAACAATTAGTATATATCTAATGAAAAAAGTCAAAATGCGATCAAACCTCTCTGAACAAATCGAGTCATTTAGATTCCCTAAAACTAAAAATAAAACTTGCTTTACATATAAAGTAGTTATATTCAATTCTTTCAAGCCAAATTCATGGCATGGTTGTCCTACTTACTACTGATAAACGGAGAAATCAGTCACTATTAACAGTTCAATCTGGTAAGCAGTTACCGCCCTTTTATCTCTAACGTAACTTCCGGTATTGTGGCCAAAACTCTGTCTCATGTGATCTACTCCAGTTCGGCCATCTGTTGTGTAAAAAGAATTAAATCAACTACATGCATATTTTATATTGCCACACAGTTGAGACACATCTCGTAGGTCGTGTCCATGGTGATATATTAGATTGTACTTATGACAACAGTGTTTATAATCTCGCACATAATTAATTATATAGATAATATGTTTGGTCTGCATACTCTCGAGACAGCTTCAGCTCATATAAAAGAGTGATATTCTTTGTTTTTGATTGCAAAAAAAAAACTTGAAACTTCTAATTTAGTTTTCTGTCAAAATATCAGAGTAAGATACGAACTCTATACATGCTTAATACTTGTGCTTGGTGTTGAAATAATATATAAAGAGTATATATTTTTGTGCTCTTTAAAACTGCGTCAGGGTAACATGAAACAGTCGGGGAAAACAGCGATTGTAACCGCAATATTAACACGTTATTGAATGACAAGGCACTTCCTTTTTAAAACATTTAATACGTTTTTTCGGCGTGAAACTTTAAAAGTGAGTTAATACCACAATGAGGATCAAATGCATATTTAGTAGAATTATCTTATCATCCGGATACTTATCTAAAGGTAGTTAAATACGAACACACTTTTAAACCCAAACCGACAGATTGTAGACAATGAAGTGACAGTCACTCTGTCAATATATGTAAGACTAGCTTTACTGTGGCAGGAGGTATATTGGCAATACATACACGTCGGACTCGCTTCTTTCAACAAAATGATAATTAAACTATTTTACTTGATCAGTGAATATACCATATGGGATCTGAGTAACTATCACGTTACAACAAGACAATAAAGCCCTGCATAATCAGCTGAAACTCAATCAGTTACCTTTCAAAATGTAATCGTATTTTAAATCCATTTCTTTTGCCTTAAAAAGTTTGTATAAATTTCGACGTTCTTGGTTGAAAGATCCTGTTTGATTTGTTGCTTCGTTCCAATGTTGTGTTTGGTTTGTCTTTTCAAGGAAGTACTCCTCATTATTCAAATGTAAAGATCCAAACTGAAAAAGACAAAAGGATTTCATTTTTTCTTGTGACAATGACAATTTCCTCTCTGTCAAGTTCTTTACGTGACTTAAGCGTAAACTCCAGTAAATTTCTAGACAAATTAAGAGAGGACATTATATACTGTGAAATTCTTAACTTTTGTGGGAATCTTAATCCGCGAATTTATATGCCCGTTAACTGTTAAAATAAATACAAGTAGATTGATTGAGCTATATTTATCTAGCCCCATGGAAATATATAAATTACTAAATACGTTATTGAATTGTTTTATACATTATATATATATACAATGTATACTTACTATATTGTTTATGTGAGTGTCATTAAACTCAACCATAAAAGCTGCTCCTTTTTCAATATTCTGATACAAAGCTGTATTCTGTTAACAAAATTCAATAGACATTAGGGCCATGTTGATCGACATTGTGTAAAATGAATATCTTATCGATAAAACTTTGGCTAATATATGTTTATATTCTCATATGGAAATACCTAAATCGTATTCAAATGAAAGGAAAATATTGATATGTTGCCAAAATCAAAATTGATCAAAATAGTTATTTTGGGATAGATTTCTGTCCTTTATTCATACATACTTTCTGTTGCAGTCATTATAGCTATATCATAGCACATTTTATAATGAAACTCTCCTCTTTGTTCTGCTATCACAAGTGTCCATATGGAAGCCTTCAGTCCCTTTGGTAGATTGACCCAGATTGGGACGACGGCGAGTGGAACTACCAGTACTGTATTGGAGCTATCATTACACTACTATATTTTTATTTTGAAAATATTGTGGTAAATGACAATATGGCTGAACTGAGGTTTAATTCCCATGAAAATGTAAAATTATTATACCGCATATTGCTTATATACACTACGATCAATTAGCAATTATATAGATATTTTAGCTCATACCCCCAGGGTACGTATAATATTTCTGCAATAGTATATAGTCGTCTGTTGATATAACAATTCAGCGTTTATTGTTAAACCTTTGCACAAGACAAAGAGATCTATAGATATACGTAAGAAAAATCTTTTGAATAATGTAGACAACATAGACTGTATAACATGTTTTAATTGCTTCCCGGTGTCTGGTTACGTGGTGGGGCTTTGCATTACGATGTTGCTTTGTATATACTACGCGCGCCTTAAAGATTTATTTAGTCCAATTTAAATAACCGTAATACCTTTATGAAAGTCACATTAGAACAACATTTCTGTTTTATGCAATAAATATATTCTGTCTTTCTGTAAGGTGCAATTTTCCTCATATGTAAGGGCGTTTTCACATGTGGGTTTGGTTTATAAAGTGTTTTCAATACCATTGAAAATTAAAAGTTATGCTTTTATACCCCATTTCCATTAGTGGTAAAACTAATATCTTATTGATCGTATTTCAGACAATTTTTCTTGACGTCATGTTATATGCAAACAAAATGGCTCTGATTTCTTAAAAAAAATATCGGATAAGAAAAAGATAGGAGGAGAGCAATTAAAATCTATATTTCATTTATGTTTTAACCTATAATTGGTTGATGCACATCTGTTTTTATATTTTACATATTAAACTATTGTAATTTTACAATAAAGGAACAAATTTCGAAATTGATGATGATAACACAACAGCTTCAGTATTTGCTCAGCATGGAATAAATATTTTAACCAGAAGCTAGAAACAAAATCAAACCTGAAGTACAGGAACGTGTTGTCTGGTTACAACACCACCACGAGTGACGTAGATAGGCGCGTTCTGGTTTACGTCATCATTTCTTGTGAGTGGTAAACTGACATCCTCGTTAAATGCAGCAAATCTAACGTCAAAGTTCGCAGGATATGAGTTTTGTTCTCCAGGAGAACGCCGATAACGTCCATCATGTTGTATTTTGATGTCCACGAAGGCTGTTGATTATAAACAAGAATGGAGTCAGTACTTTGATAATTGATAGAATTTAGAAGAAAACACGGGCATGCAGATACTAGGAATATGAGGCCTAAAGTCCGAAACAGTAATAAAGTTTGGCTTAGTTAATCACTGAAAACGAAAAACATCATGAATGACAGAGCAAGTTCTCAAGTTTAAGATTGTTTCGTGATCCCTGACACTGGGATCCACGTTTTTGGATTTAAACAAAACAACTCATCTGAGATTCACACACTAATGTCTTAATATATAATGTTTTCAGTGTCAAGTCATTAAACCAGCACATAATACATCTTATATAGGTATACACTCTAGTTAGTATAGTCCCTTTATGAAACTCATGGTGACTCGCTATTACGTCCCATGCAATCTAGGAAACGATTTTTCCCCTTACTTTCAAATTATTTTTTTACGCGGATTCATGCAGTTTGCAAACAATTTTTTCTCATACCCCTATGAAACTAAAAACAATTACATCAATGCTTAAATGAATATCCCTTCAATAGTGTTCATGTATTCGGTAATGTTTTCCATATCGAAATTTCAAAGACTCGTTATACAGTGTCCAGACTTATTTTATAATGTTTTATTTAAATTTAAATTAAAATTCATGCCTTTTGTCATTGAGATGTTTAAGCTCGAGTTTTTTGTTCCAACTTACCAGTAATTGACAGGATACTCGAAATACAACAACAAACTTTATTAGACAATTAAATGATATTTTTATTGATAACAGACTCAAATGGACGTAGATTCTTTTACACGCTCGATATATTGTATAACGCTATCAGCTATAGTAATATCACTGATTATATCAGTATATATATAGTGTCTATGTGGTTAACACAGTGTTCATAAAGGCGACTGGTGTTGAATCCATGTACTGTAATGTTAAATGGTAGAAAATATTAGGCAAATCTTACCTTTAAAATCAGATTTAAACTTTCCTTGGAATTTCAGTAGATTTACACCTGTTGTTCCAGTCAATACTAATAAAACAATTATATATCGAGACGTGTGTTGTGACATGTTGTGGCGCTCGGATATACAGTGTCTGCTTACTATAATCAATAGTCAAATTGTCAGTTGCACTGTTGTCTTCTATACCCAGCCCGTGGTTTGTAGTCTTGGTAAATTGAATCAAGGTGTGTTCAATATGTAACACCCGGTATAAGCCTGCAAACGAGAATGTCTCCACCGGTGAGGGACGCTTATTCTTTTTATAAATATTTACCTGTCGTATACCTCAAATCATGACATAAATAGTTCCACACAATGGCACCTGTTGTTTCAGACATTTACCTCCGGAGGTGACCGAAATCTTTACTAAGGTCACACGTGTCGTTGAATCAATTTACTAAACAATCAAACTAAAGTCACAGAACTGTATAATTTAACAAAATTTGCTGCTAATTTGTTCACCACAACATGGAAGATCCAGGGACTTGTGTATTGTCAGCGTTACTTGTTCTGACACCACTCGAGATCAATCCATAAGCATGCTAATGGGAATAGCTATACTGGGAAAAGGCTTATATATTGAAAGGTTTTCAGTTCCAGTTGAACGAGCACTTATTGTGTACTTAAAGCTCACATGATGTTTGTGTTATATATATATATATATATATATATATATATATAGCACTGTGTGTATAAGGTGTGTTAATGGTATTATGTATCCTCATTTCTCTGAATTATATCAAAGGTGGCTACACCACGTGACTAACTAGTTCGTTTATTAATACTATATATATATATATTAGTCTTACAAAAACGACACAATTTTGTTCGCTGATGCATGAATGACGTCACGGGTATTGAAGAATATTTCTATTTTTAACCAGGGACTCCTGTTTTACCATGAGTCATATGAGGATACACAGTGAACGTGTATGTTATGTTCACGGATCTGTGACTTGAAAATATCGGATTAAAGAATACAATACCGCTCGTGATTTTCGGTCAGTGTGATAAACTGGTACTCTTTGTTGTGAGTGATTCACTTCTTCAAACACTCCTATAGCCCCGACAATGTCTAAATATGGTGTTGTAAGTATGTACATATGGAACAGATTAAATCGCTTTATTAGATGAAATTTTTTCTCGGTGTGACAAAAAAGTTCGGGATATAGACCGTAACCAACAGAGATGGAAAAAAGAAATCGTTCTCCGTCATCCATAAAGCGTGAGTGTCGGCGTCATTTAAAATTCAATACTTACAGATATGTTTGTCAAATCTACAAACTGTCATATTAATATCTGAGAATAAACAGAGCGCAACGAAATGAAAACAGGGCTGCTCTGTGGATAATTTTCTAACAAGTATAGTAGATAACTAACGCAGAAATTTTAATTAACATATAAACGCCTTCAGAATTCATGCCATTAAAGTTTGTAGAAACATTTTTGTTTTAAGCATGCTTTATGGACATCACAACCTTTCCCAGTAGGACATCAGCAGAAATTGTTTCAACTACAGGTACATGAAGACGAAAAAGATCTAGGAATGATAGTAGATAGCAATTTAAATTTCAGACAACACATACAGACAGCAGTAAATAAAACAAACAAAATATTAGGCACAATAAGAAAAACTTATGCATACTTGGATGAATGATCATTCTGTTTACTATATAAAGCATTAAGAAGACCAAATTTGGAGTATGGAGCTAGTATTTGGAACCCGCATAATATATAGGATATTGATTTATTAGAGAATGTACAAAGAAGAACAACAAAACTTTTACCAGGAATGAAAGAATTAACATATGTTGAGAGAATGATAAGACTAGAATTACCATCATTAAAGTACAGACGGGACCATGGGGACATGATTGAGGTTTTCAAGATCTTAAGAGGATTGTATGACAACGAAGGATCTGCAAATTTAATCAGCAGAGTTCAGAACAAAAGAACAAGAGGGAATTCTTACGGCCTGGAAAAAGGAAGTTTTCTTTCTCTCACAGGGTGGTAAAGAATTGGAACTCTCTACCAGATTATATAGTACAAGCGCCAACTTTGAACTAATTTGAAAAACAGGCTTGATATATATTGGAAAAGTGCGGAGAGAACATATAACATCTTTATTCCAACCAGAAGTGACAACATTGAACCAATGGATTGTGACAAGCTTTCAGATCTGAACGTAAAGGCATAAGGGCTACGTTCAGTTACTACTTATCTATACTAAGCTAATATGTAAATATCAACCATCTCTGAGGTTTTTTATTTTAACATCTCAGTTATTTGTTTTTCTTCATTTATTTATCTTTAAGTTTATCATTTTTTACATTCCGTTCGTATATATAGCACAATTTCAAAGATATATATACAGTTTACGAATGACAATTGCAACCATTCTTGTGAATATATACTGATCGATTCACTTACAATAAACAAGACAATAATGACGAATCATGTTAACACTGTTGATGAAATGTACAATGTATATACTATGATGATGTTGATACTTACATGTACAAGCATTTTAACGAGATGTGTACGATGCAGACATGATCATAACAAAGACATTCATTCTTGATTTCATCTGATCTGGGTTCAGAATATTTTCATACACTTTCGGGAATTTTAAAGAGGTAGGACGAGACGTCCACATCATACAATGATAGATCTAAGTGCTATTCGATAGGAAAAGTAGAAATCCCTCTATTAAATGTTTCTGTATTTGACATTCAGTTGAAATTTGCGACTTGGTTAAAAGAAGATTTAATTATGTTGGTATGCTAGTACATTGAATACATTGTATTTCATTATATTGGACTTGCGAACACAGATTTGTTGCTTGAAAGTTAAGACCATGGTTTGATGTTGCAACCACAAAGGAAATGGATTATAAAAAAGAACTGACAAATTGGCTGATATTTATACATTTAAGTTATAAATCTTTATGAGAAATAAATGTCAGGTTTCAAAGAATTCGAGATTTGCTGTGTACTATGTATATATATTAGATCGAAACATTGCCACAGTAGAAAAAAAAACATCTTTTTAAAATGCTGTGGTTAATCAATTTCTAATCATTGTTCTTCTTTTCCTTAGTGTAATGACTTACTTTAAGATATAGTTACCGGTAGATGTTGTAGATTCCTTCCGATCCAAATCCTTGATCAAGAGTTTTCAGTTGTTTATCTCCATTTAGTTGTTACAGTAATAATCAATTGTTCTGTTCAAATGCATTTTCAAATTCTAGATCTCCTTGCAGTTTTATTTGTTTAACCAAATCCTGGAGTGTCTTTATCATATGCCCCTGACCAAATAAGTATATTGAATGTAGTAATGTGTGACATCATATATGACATAGAGTCAGACGACATGAAATTAGTCCATGAAAGAGATGGCTATAGTTCACACCTGTCCAGTAAACCACAGGGGGTTCTCAGTTGGGGGTTTACTGGCGCGTCCTTAGAAATAACTAATCATATCCACGCATATAATAAATTGTGATGTTCTTATACCGACGAACTGAATTGTAACACTCTGATTTTTATGATAATTTTTTATTTATTTTTTTTTTTTTTTTAGTGATTTTGAACATGGACATTTATGCAACCATGGGTTTAAATTCAAAATGAGTCCAATATGTACCGTACTATTACGGACTAGCAGAGGTGTAACATATATTTAGGCTACAACCAGAGACGTAAATATCACATGTGATATATACGTTTCTGGCTACAACAGATACCTATATAACCATGACTGTACGGGTCTCCCGAGTATAACAGTACAGTGTAATTTGATAAAATCACTCATCCATGACTGGCCCCATTTTACATGTGTGCTTTCGTGTCTACGACTCGGTGCGCGCTAAGGGGACGTAACCCATGGTATCCCGCAGAAATAGCTGCATATGGGTCTTTAGGGATGACCACAGTCCTAGAAGGTCCTGTAACTGTTGCAACCCTAGAAATGGCAATCATGTCCGTGATATTGTTATGAGTGACAGGCGAGTTACAGAGAGAGAGATATAGTCAGCACAGTTGGGATTTCACAGGGAAGATCACATTCCATTTTTACGGAAGATCTTGTAATAAAAAAGTTCAGCCCGTGGTGTACCAAAGCTTCTAACAGTTGATCAGAAGCACACCAGACGGACTCTGTCGCTTGCTAATATGAACGTTTTACAAGCAGATCCTGCTTACTTTCTACAGAAGTTTGTGACTATGGATGAAACATGGGTCCATCATTTCACTCCAGAGGCCAAACAACATTCTAAACAATGGAAGCATCCTGGCTCATCCCAACCAAAAAAGGCCGGTACCATCAACTGGAATACTCATTACCTCGATTTTCTGAGATGCTGATGCTATTCTGATGGTAGATCATCAGCGAAAGGGGCAAACAATCAATGGTACATATCATGCATTTCTTCTAAGACAGTTAAGAGAAAAAATTGAGCTCAAGCTCCGCGGAAAACTCCGTAAAGGTATGTTGTTCCGCCAGGACAATGCCCTTGTTCACATGTCTGTCATTGCCGTGGCTACCATTAACGATTGTAGTTTTGCATTGACTGATCATCTGCCTTATTCGCCTAATCTCGCTCCATCAGACTTTCGTTTATTTCCAAAACTGGAAAGGGCCATATTCTTTAGTTTGGTTAATCTTTCGGGTTTATATTTTGTATTTATGCGATTCTAGTATGTGAGGGGTGGGGGGCAGGGGCTAACTCCTCGACTAGGGATGTTTGGTTTGATTAGTCTTACTTCGGGTTTGGTTTGGTTTTCTATGATCAGTGACGGCCTCCCTTTGTATGTTCAGTGACTGCATTTGTTCTGCCGTCGACGTTGTAGTGCTACCACACTGAAGTATACTGCCGAAGTCACTCAGCAGGACTCCTCACATGGTTGTCTAAGGCCAAGGGGAAGCAGGGACTACTAAGACTCGGTATATATCTCGGCCAGAGTATTGACGCCCTAAGTCTTCCTCACAGATGCAACGCTCAACTGAAGTCAACTGAAGTAAGACTGTCAAGGGGAGACAATCAGAAATAATAGTGGTAGATGAAGAAGCTAAAATTACGCCCTACCTGCACCATTGATTTGTGGATCGAATGAAACTGAAACAGGAACGCTCCGGGGTTTAGTGGTTGTACCATTAATCAAGATTTTAAATTTTTATTACTTTGCATGGCATGAGATAGACATCCCGCATTTTGTTCGGATGAGAAGCAAGTTTGAATTTTGAATTCAGCATAAACGTACTAGGATCTCTCTCGAATAAAAAATAAACAAAATAGTTGTACAGTTGATTGATACCTGGTTACATTAGCCAAACAAGACATGTTCTCCTTATCTTGTGTGAAATATTAGGGAGAAGATAATACAGTTGTAAAACAGTCCATGCAATTGTATCTTAACATTCTGCTTTAATTGAAAACTACAAAGACAGTATGGTATTGTTTTGGAATAGAAATCCCTAATTAATTCTTTTTCGAACTGTGGGTCCTATCACCTCTGAATTGAATAGAGACGTATGGAATTTTCGGACAACTTTGAAATAGATTCTGTGGGATAATCTCTCATAGGAATGGAAGGTCCGGATCACCCCATGGAAGATGGATGAGTTGACTTGATAATTATATCTCTAACATGTAACTATTCAGAAAACGGGAGATTAAACATAGTTATCTACGCTTTGACATTTGATAATTGCCTTAAGTTTTTTTTTTTTTTTTTCGTTTTTTTTTTAACAGCTTTGAACGTATTTTAATATAGATGTGATCAATATCTACTAGCTGGACTGATAATGCGGTATAAATCTAACGTTTCCCGACTTCATATTTATTCTTAATTTATTGCAGAAATTCAGTATAAGTGTTATATGTTCTAATGCATTCGTTACATGTGTAAGTGCGTTGGCATTGAAATTAAAATTCTTCATATGTTACCCAAACTACATATATAAACTTTTAAATAAGTGAAAACTGCTTGTCATAGTTCTATATTCTATACAACGATGTTACGATTATCTTGATATTATGGTTTCCATCAATGTTTAAAAGTCTGCTAACTTTCAATGATATCACCAAAAGACTCTTTTCGTGGAGACGAATATAAACAAAAACACATAAAGCAGAATTTATTTACCTTACCGCGTTATGTTACCTTATGTTGTTTCTGCGTGCAGGACCTACTGGTTCTCTATAACCAGCTCAGAATTGTTCAATATTGCTGTGTAACATTTATTTATTTATTTATTTATTTATTTATTTATTTATTTATTTATTTATTTATTTATTTATTTATTTATTTATTTATTTTGACATCTGACCAGGGTGGGAAAAAAACAATAATATTGTGATATCAGGAAAGATTTTGATGAATAGCCCACTTAAATAGATTGAACTTTGATATCTTCCGGAATAATGTCCGTGTTATTCCCTGTTCTGCAAATTACATGAACCGGAAACGTGTACCCACAATTCTAGTAATGCCACGTAGTGGCCATATTGGATTAACAACCGGCATCACCTGTGGAACCAGACTGACATTCTGCCTGTTTTTAACGACAGGATGGGTGGTTCATTCAGCACAGAAATTCCGGGCGGTGGAACAGAGGGCTACCATGTTCTCAGAGTAAGTGACATGAACGGACTGACTTCTGAAGTGAGAAAATGTTGGGAAACATGACATTGTTTGACCGATCTACCTACTACTTCAAGTTGATTGGCGTTGAATACTTTGTTTACCGCATTTGAAGTGAAGAGATTTGAAGAAATAATAATGTGAAGCATTAGCTAAATCGTGTATTCATACGTGATCTCAATAGCCTAGATAATACCAGTCTATAAGAGATGTGCGTGTAAGCCAAATTCACTATGTGTACGAATCTGGCTGAAGTTGTCCCAAGATGTCCACCTGATCCTGACGTTACACGTGTGAGCATTGCGCAGACAAGTGACCGACATCTGTGCCCTTGTTTCAACGTCAGCGCATAGTTTAAACTATATTATATGCTTAAGTAATTTATGCAAACATATGACAGCCTCGGGAAAGAAGAAACTAATTATGTTGATAGTTCTAATGTTCGCTCGGTTTTCTTTAACGATACTCAAAATGTCATAATGATCAGCTGTTTATTTAACTGATATCTTTTTGCCGAATCTATTATATCTTTTAAAGAAAAAGAAATATTCATAGTTAGTGAAGTTTTGATAACATTTCTTTTACAATATTATATACCACAAGTTCTTTCATTTTCTATAAGAAAGATCTTGCTTGAAACTTCTTGAATGAATAGTTTAGGTAAATTGACAGAAGTCATAAACTGATGCTAGCCAAAAGATGGCAGCCATTTTCATGTTGAGGCAGATCCTCTACATTGTTGAAATTTATCACAGCAGAATGGTCAAATCTGTCATCGTAATGTTGAATGGAAATTATGATTATCTTTGTGACATATTTCAAATTACTTTCCTTTGCTTCAAGTGAGTAAAGACAGTTACAGTACTATAAGTGATATTCTCATTCTAGGGATCAAATTCAATCCTGATATCACAACTAAATGAAATCCTATGTCACATGGTACCGTCTCCTAACTTAATTGTATACAGAATGATACATAGATCCCAATCTCTATTTGAAAGAAATGTGCTGACAAGTTAAGATGAGTCTCGCATAATGATTACTTGTTGACTTTCCACAATGTCTGTTGTTTTAAGGGTCTACTTTAGTGAACAGATACCTGCTCCATCCACAGACTGACATAACAAATTTCAGTCATGTACACTAGGAATCAATTAAACAAAAAATTGACATATAATCCACGCAGGGAGACATTTTAAGTCTTTTCCTATGCATTGACCTACATCCTGACCTGAATCTGTCGACAACGTGACTGGAAAGAAGGCAGCTAGAGCTTCTGTGTCATCAATGGTTTAAACATTTTTGTTGAATTTTATTTATCTTGCGATCATTACGTCAATTTTAGGCTCAAATTATTTTAGAATGGGGATAGTATACTTGTTTTTTAATATATACTGGAAATTAGATCGTTCATTTGGTTGTTTTAACACACAACTTGTGATAAAACCACAATTCATTGTCTAATCTCCAGTATAGCATAAAAAACAAGCACACTGTTCCCTAAATAGATAATGACAAACAGTAATTGCACACTGTGACATCCTGTAGCAAGATGGACATTCACACATTGCTTATTTCTCTGCACAATCGAGTCCTTTAATGAAATTCTACCACTCTGACGACAGTCATTGACTCTGATGACCCTGTAGTCGGCAATACACATATAGATCAAATCTTCGAACAACACTGAAAATCAAGCACATTTTATTGTATTTTCTTGCTCAAGGTATACATTTTTAGTCTTCACGGATTCATTTGAGATATTTTTAGATTGTTTAGGCATTATCAGTCAATGACTTCAACAGAAAGTAAACTGATTATAGCTAAAAAAAAAAAAAGAAGATTTTTCTCAGTATCAGACCAATTTCAGATTTGAGACAGAGTTTTCCCTTTTACTAAATATTATTTCTTTTCATTTTAAGGTGCAAGAGGGCTCCCCAGGGCACAAAGCAGGATTGGAGGCATTCTTCGATTTTATTGTAGCGATAGGACACACACGGCTGGTAGGTTAATTGTATTGTGACAATATAGAACTGGTATTTCTGGCAAGTTTCTGTTATTGTATAGGTAGAACACTCATGTCTAGTAGATTTAATTCATAGCTGACATGTAATTTAATTATGCGGAGTGTTCTGAAATCAATAATTTTCTTACACAATGATAGAACTCCTCCAGGAAGTCATTAAAGTTATAAAGGATCGAGGAGAGGTAATTTGTCAACAACTAGTTGTAGCATTACCTAGCTAGTATAATAAGAATTTCATGTTATGCAGCTTGCACTTCTTATTATCGGGTAAAATTAGCTCTGCTTTCTATTCATATTTTAATTGACATTATAAAACATTAAATAAGACATATAATTTTTACTTCATTTTATATTTTATCGTGAAGATATTAATTCCTAAAATATAATATGATATACTTTAAAGTTTGTAATCAAAGATATTTTCTCTTACAGAATCAGGATAATGATACTCTTAAAGATCTTCTGAAGGCAAACATAGAGAAACCAGTGAAAATGGCAGTTTATAGTAGTAAAACACAGTCTGTTCGTGAGGTGACCATTCTACCCAGTCATAACTGGGGTGGTCAAGGACTGCTGGGTGTAAGCATTAGGTGAGAGGTATACTCAAACTGTTCCTGTATTGGTCACTGTCTGTCTGGTAAAGATAAATCTTCATGTTGTTTTCAGTTCATTTTCTTAAATGAGATTATTAAGTTTCTAAACATAATACATGTACTTGTGTAAATCCTAGAAGTCTCGTGATCTGATTTCTGGCAGAGGCATTAACACAGAGAATAATTTTGTTACATTTATATAGGAAACTGATGGTTCACTTTACATCTAACAGACATTTGTCGGGCTACTTGGTTGATGGTCAGCATTTCAGAAATCAATTCCCAAATCTTAAAAAGTTTTCGGAAGTCAAAAACATATACTGTTGAGAATCTAATGAATGCCATTTTAATGATTCTCTTGGCTTGATATCCCATTCTTCAACTTGAAACATTTTTGACATCTTGATAATCAATAACTGTATGAAATGAAGTGCTACCATGTTTAATTGAAAAAGACAATAGAGGGTTTTTTTTCACTGGTGTTTTGTTTGTTTCTGATTTATTGCAAAACAGCCAATTCATGCCTTATGAGACATTCTCTCAAATTTACAATATCGATGTGAATGATAAAGATTATTATTATAATGGTTATTAATGCCATACCAAGAAACTAAAGGGCAATTCTACAGAATGTTATTGTAAATGTGCTTATAAGTCAATACAATTTAATCAATTAACTTCATACACAAGTTAAAGTCACTTGATATTCTTACCAAATTTTCTTCAGAAAAACCAATATATAGCCAAAAACAACGGCAAGAAATATTCAATATTGACATCAGTGAAGATACTTCAGGGCTCTCGCACCCCATTTTGGGACTGGGACCCGTGGCCCTTAGAATTGGTTAAAAATAACGCTGTTTTCCTTAGAACTGGGAAAACTTGGGGGTCTAAATTGGGAAGAAAAGATGCTATTTTGCATTGGGAATGGGGCCGATATTTGGCAGATCGAGAGCCCTGTACTTTATGTATAGTGGAATAGTTATGGAACACTGATATGGAATTACCTTCTTATGAGATACTCTATACTGTGTTAATTAAAAAAATGTAGCTCCCACATTTGTTTAAAACTGAAAATATATCGACATCGTAATAAAAAGATATGGGATGTAAATATACCACTACAAAGGACAAGAAAAGATAAACAGATCCAAAGCAAATAGAATTTTATTAAAACAACTTTTTGATTAAGAGTTAAAAGATTATTGATGAATGGGTTGCCATGTATGGTACATGTATGTCAGATATAAAAAGAATGCATCCTTATGGTACATCTTAATAAGGTAGACCTATTAATAAAATCAGTCTAATGGTTATTGAATATTGTGTTCTAGAGCATCAGTTTAGTTTAGATTTATGTGATTATGAAGAAAAGACTTAAATAAGAAAGAAATATTTAATAAAATTTTAGCCAAAGCCACTAATCGGACAACAGTGTAGATTAATCCATTATTCCAGATGTTGCAACCATGCCGAATAGAATATTACATTTTGTAAATTTAGACAATTTTTTTTTAACATAACTTTGAGGAAAGAATTGTTTGAAATTCTGTTCATAACCACATCTTACTTTTTGCAGGTTTTGTTCCTTTGAAGGGGCTAATGAAAATGTCTGGCATGTGCTGGTAAGTCAAAATATGGAGTATATCTGAATTAAGATATTCAGTTCATTGTTTGGTTTTTCAAATTTGATCAACTCTAACCACATCCACAATAAAAATGTTGTATTGTAATATAGTAAATATAATATCAATTACAGAATACATAAGCCTTATGTCAGAGTTAGTTTCCAGTTCCTTATCAACAGTTTCTGTCTTGTGGTAGAAATCTGCATATCTTTTTCTGTGCTTTATTTTATTATTTACAAGATAAAAGCCAGTCTATGATTTCTTGAACAGAACTTAAATGTATTGCAAGCAAATACTTCTTCAGATTTAAGTTATTTACAATCCTTTTTGTTAAACTAATGTCCGAAAAGCTGAATTTCAAAATTCAACAATTCTGTGAGGTAAACAAGTCAGGCAAGAAGGCAATTTCATCAACCATTTTGTGAAAGTTGTGTCTTAATACTTTTTGAACAGGAGGTAAAACCAAATTCTCCAGCAGACCTGGCTGGTCTCAAGTCTAACACTGATTACATCATCGGGGCTGACTCTGTGCTGCATGAGGTACAAATATGACTATTCGTTTTCTACTAGAAATAATGTACTTAATGCAAGGTCTTTGTAAAAAGAGTTTGTAAAATGTAGAAATGTGTTGTCGCAATAAACAGGTTTTTGGACTTTTTAAATCTAATCTATTTTCCTTTTCTAACAATTTGTTGTAACTGTTGGCAAGATTAACTTATGTAGTAAGTAAAATGTTTAATGTATCTAAGGACAGGGTATTTGCTATACTTTTCATGTATTATACAAATATCTCAGTTTTAAATTCGTCTTAAATAATGAATATCTAGCACTTTTACATATCAAGCTGTTACAAATAATATCATTTCAATGTTTCCATGAGAAGTTTTAATGAGATACTCAACTGATGAAATATCTTTTTCAGTCCGAGGATTTGTTTACACTGATAGACTCTCATGAAGGTAAACCACTGCGTTTGTACATCTACAACACAGAATCAGACTCGTGTCGGGAGGTCACGATCACACCTAATGGAGCTTGGGGAGGAGATGGAAGGTACATTCATAATCGTTATGTGACTTGTCTAATATCAAAATCACAGATAATTGATCAGGTGTATAATATATAGACTGTAAAATATAAAATTCTGTATAAAAACAAAACTGTTTCTCATTCTAGACATAAATTACTGAAAAAAATACTTCACCTATACATTGATTTTTGGGACTCAGATATCTGAATCCAGGACTTTTGATTTTCCTATTGGACTCGCTGAAATTTGGAGAACCCACTTTTGGAAATGACTCAAAAAATTGTACAAAATTTATTGCTATATCCAGAGAGAGACTTTTGATTTTCCTATGGGACTCGCTGAAATTTGGAGAACCCACTTTTGGAAATGACTAAAAAAATTGTACAAAATTTATTGCTATATCCAGAGAGAGAGAGATCACAGAACATTTATTTTCTGAAGCCAAATTACATTATGATTGTATTTCTAATCTTTATTAGTACGTTTGGTGAGGATGGAAGGTAAGAATATTTCTATTGGTACAAGGAGAACAATACTTTATTAATTTGTCACATTGTTGCTTGATTATCCCCAACTTTCTAGTACGCAATAAAACTACACTGTCAGATTCTGTTTGATTATTCGGATGTTTATTTAAATTTGAGAAAAAAACTTAATCCAAACCAAAAATGACGATCAGAGCTTCCAGAACAAAACTAATGGCGAAAGGTTTGGAAAACTTGATTTATCTCTCCTCCCCTGTCTTCTCTGCCAACATGTTTTCCTGTCAGGTCCGGTATACAACAAATACTAACAATTATTTTAAACTTCACTTGTTAGTGCTTTCGTAGCATTCACCACAAATGGCTTCCCTCCCTTCCTCCCCACCCTGTAAGGTGGTGTACATCTTGGTGAGCTTTATAATCTAATGAAAATTTGCTCTAAATCCAAGGCTTTGAATAATAAACATTGTAAAATGACAGGGGTAACCTACATTGAAATAGGTTGTGTACATGTATCTCTGCTAGCCCCTTGGTGGGGTCACCCCCTAAAAAAATGATAGGTGGACAGATGTGATCCAAAATCCAAAGATTTAGACAAGGGCATTATATAATAACAGGATGGTTTCGCTTTTTCCCTGCCCTTGATAAATATATGATCTGTAAAATGTAAAGTTGAAATCATTAGTAGGTGTATGGCAAGTCAGTGTTCTAGTATGCATTTACTTTATGGTTACAATAACATTGCAATCCACTCCTACCAAATTTTTGTTAATGACTTGATGTTTCTATATAGTGTAAAGGTCATTCTATTTCCAACTATTCCTGAGATGGAATGCACTAGATTTATAGGGAGAATTGACTGGCTTTGAATAGTATACTAAATTTATAGGCCATCTAGTATATTTACCAGTATTGTGATTAGTCAAAGATGGCTATCAACTAGAAAAAAAGTTTCCATTTGTAATTGATAATTTCCATTTATACAGAGAAGGTTTTGATAGCACAATTTAAAACTTACATTCAGGTATGTGTGCTCACAAATCAAACTGTTTAAGTACACCCTATTTCAAATTCACCCTTAAATGTGAAAGATAAACTTCAAATATTGATAATATTTGATTTCAAACTTAGAGTAATCTTTTATTTTCGTATTGTTGAGAAAAAGGTGAAACAGACAGAAGATTTTCAAGAAATAATACACAACAGCAGGACCTTACAATTTTGAATATTGTTTAGGAAAATATTCATCTATCATTCATATATAATATAAGAAAACAAATTGTTTAAGTCTCGGTGAGCTAGTATATATAGAATACCTATTAGAAATGTACATTCTTGTCCTATTAAATTATGATTAGTGTATCTAATTTATTGTAAGATATTTGCAGGACTTCTTACTGTCCTGTTGTCACAAGATTAACAGCATGAGGTGAACAGGGGTTCAGGTCACCATATTCACCATGGTGATAGACTATAGTCACATTTAGATCGTAAATAATACAAGAAGTCCAGCATGAGGACTTATATGATGCTGTAATTTGTAGGAAGTATAGGTCAGATATTTTGTCTTTTGATACCATCTCAAAACCCCTATGAAATGTCACCATGATGTACTGTATTGCACTTGTATTTCAGAACAGTTACTTTTTTGTCTTGATTGATGTCCGAGAAATAGATTCAATCTGAATTACAATATGTGTCCCGAAATTGAGATGGTCATGTCAGGTTTTCATTTACTGTTGTTCGAAATGAAAACGATAATAATAATGATTAAAAAAATGTTAGATTTATTTCAACCCAAACCAGCACCATGATGTGGTTGTTTATGCAGGGGAGATAACTGCCTTTGAGAGTTAGGTACAGGAAACAGGAATTCAAATGGGTATATATATATATATAGTGTTTATCATCTTGGAGGCTAACAAGGGTCCTATTTCTAACAGACATTATTATATATTCATGGAATTTCATGTGGTGCTGTGATGTTGATGCATTTTATATACTGAAAATTTCTCAACTATTGGATTTTCCAAACTACATGTAACTGAAGAAGGTCCCTTCATTGATTAACCAAAATATAGGAGGAAGACTAGTCCTTAGATTAGTTGCATAATTCATCATTATGTGTGTTGCACACATTAAAATATTTATACTTTGCAAATTTGTCCTCATGATTTACAACTCTAGAGAATTTCAGATCCTTCAGGTCCTGTGTTGATATCAGTATTCAGTGCTGTCCATGTTAGATACATTGATAACTAGGGCCCATTCTGACTTTGTCACATCTCGTTCATCTGTACAATCACTCCTTTCATTTGATGTCATGTTTCTCATCCTTGCTATGAATTTCCTGAAACTTCAAAATGAATGTTGATACAAGTTGAAGAACTTCAATGTGATGTTTGCTAAAGATTTTTGGCTTTTCTGTTTTAGTTGTTTACTGGAATATGTTAACATGATTTTTCATTAATTTTCTGTTTGATTTGCAGTGTAAACAAGCAAAATGCTGACCATAAGTATTCCTCTGATTTCTGTTTGGGTGTAAAAAGAAAATATTTGATTGTGAACTCTTACACCTTTTCAGTCTGGGATGTGGTATTGGATATGGATATTTACACAGGATACCAAAGAGACAGTTCCCTTCAAATGTTTCTCCAGAGAAACTAGCAACCTCAGTTCAAACACCGCAGAAGTCTCCAGATGGATTTGCAGAGGTAAGCTGAAAGCTAAAATATCATAGATAAAGTAAAATAAATAAAAATGTTACTATGTATCAGCACCTGTGAAATCTTGTTTTAAGACTAAATAATGAAGAAGAAATGTCTTGGTTTTTCCTTTGATATGGCTATTTGTTAATTACATCAAGGCATCTATTGCTGCTCTGATAAAGTGATATATAAGGCGTTGAATTGTTGAAATCCTGAATTATGACCTAATATGAGTTCATAACTATTAAATGTTAAGTTTTTTCCCTTAATTCTTTATTCTTGAGTTTATTTTTGGTAACATAAAAATATTTCATGTGTTGCAGGTTTCTCTTGGTAATTCTCCGCAAGGGCTGCCTACCAGTATGGCTCAAATGTCTATAAATACAGGTAAGTTTTTCATCTTGTCATTTCGGAGAAAAGGGAGGGGATCAAACCTTCTGACTTTTAAACATCATGCATGTACTGTATTTATTGGTATCATTTGCTTGAGATTTCTCTTTGTTTCTATTCATGGTAATTAAAGATTGTACAAAACTAAATGTTCAGCAATCATTTTAGTGTGAAACAAATCTAAGTAAGTACATTATATATGCCTGTAGACATGCGTAAAAAATTCAATCCCTGTGAACACATCCAAAATTGCTGAATTCACCGACTAAAGTATATAAACTTAATTTGACATAATCAAATTTTAAAGCATAATCACTTTTTGACACACAGAGGCATTGAATTAAGTGTCATACACCTTAAGCACAAAAGGCACTAAAATATGATTACTGAAAAAATAGGTATATTTAAAATGTACTATTTATAGATTTGATATCGCAATCAATTCCAATATGGTAACACTGTCTTTGTCTTCCCTAAATCCCCGCAAAACTAAGGTAAAAACAAAACTGTATGATGATTTTGCAGTAATTTCCATTAATATCTGCCATTTTAATTGGATAAGGTTCCCCGACCATACCGGTGATTCCATCTGCTATTAGTGGCGCTGGACATGGACAGCCCCTTCAACCTTCACCAATGCCAAACTTTTCTTCACCTCTCACAGGTGTCAGTTGTAAGTTTTATGTGTATGTATTGTCTGATGGTGAAAACAACCTGTCAGAGGTTGGGGCTTTACTTCCTTCATGAAGTAGAGTTGGAAATTCTCATAAAAAAAAAGTGTCTGCGGTTCTTAGAATTGATATATCTATATGAAAAATTCATCACTTCTCATTTCTAAGTCTAGTTACCTACTCCTCATCAAAACTACAAATCTGCATCATGGAAAACTGCTTCTTAGTAAGATTTCATTCAAAGTTAAAAAAAAATAACCCTTCTCTCTGATGACTGTTGAGGCCTGTAGGCTTCTTGTTTTTTTTTAGTGAAATCTTTTAGCTTTAACGGAAAGCAATATTTGTATTATAATTATATTAAATTCATCTACTGTAAAATAAAGTTGACATGATTTGACCATCATTATTCAAATGTTCCAGTACCGGCAAGCACAATGCCCAACCTACAAGGGATGCCTAGCCTGGCAGGCATGCCCAACTTATCTTCATTACCTCCTTTGACTATGCCGATGTCACTGCCGGGGATGCAGCCCGGGGCACTTCCAGCAATGTCATCACTACCTGTCAGCATGACTCCGTCCCTGCCAGGTAAGATTTAAGAACATTATACTGAAAAATTAATCTGGAAATTTTAGTTATTACCATATTTTCTGGGTTATAAACTGCACCAATACATAAGCCACAGAACCAACTTTTCACAATATTCTTTTTTCAATTTGATCTACTCTATATATTAGCTTACATTGGAATGTAAGCATCATCCTTTTTTATGATGTGGCAGCCATTGTTTTGATCAAAGTTCATTAATATAACAGACAACAGATGGCAATTTTTCAAGATCATCAGTGAAACATTTAATATAAGTTTGCAAACGAGTAGTACAGATAATCCTTTATTTTATTGATGTGATTCAAAAACGTAAAATAGCAATGTCATACTCATTTGGCTTGGGAGCCCTCAAAGATTGTCTTTGCACAGTTATATAGTCTGACGTTCAAATGTTTACTTCGCAAGATCGCCATCAGTATCTGTGCTGTTAAATGTTAGTGGAGGTCTTTGCTTGACAAAATTATGATAGGCCCATATTATTTCTTGTAAGTTACACTAAGTCATTTTTATCACAAACAAGCATGGCAGTTCTAGAATTTGACCCATGACCTATCGATCCCAGGATGTAAACTTCATTGGTTTTTTTTGTTTGTTTTTCTTTCTGCCAATGTATTTTTTTTTTTTTTTTTTTGCACTTATAAGCTACTCTGGTATGTAAGCTGTACGCCCGACCATCGAAAAAAAAATGTGGCTTATAACCAGGAATACAGTAATCTTAACCTAACCTAGTTCAGTACGTTTATCATATATGGTCTCTAAGCTAATGGTTTTTATCTTCAATTGGGCCAGTATATTTATCAAAGAGAAGTGAATTTATCTGTTAACTGTTCTACTTTAGTTAGATGATTATTTGATGACTTCATAGATAAAACTTTCCGTTGACACAAGGCAACATTTTGCACATGACATCTGTAGATTCCTTTGGTTGGTTGAGGTGAATTCCACATCAGATTGTATAATGAGTATAATGTATTATTTTATCTAGGTATGACATCCAGTACATCAGTGCTGCCCCCTGGGATGGGTAGTGCTGCACCTCCAGGTGTTGTAATTCCTCCCATAGCTGGTCTACCAACGTCCATGCCAGCCTCCCTCCCCAACCTCCCTACAAACTTTACTATCCCCACTCAAGCAGTGGGAGATTTGCCACAGATGCCCCAGAGTGTGGCTGGCACTCTTCCTCTACAGACAGGTGCTGCGGGTGACCTGAGTACAGCTACAGCAAGCCCCTCTGCGTCAGCAGTGTCATCAGTTGTACCCCCAGTGGCGGAATCATCAGAAACGGTCAATGCTGCATCCTAGTAGTGCTTTTCATCTATATCCTTGCTGATTTTTTTCTCTCTATTTGTTGTTGGAGCATATCTGTTATTAGGGAGTGTGAGAATTGATTTGTGGAATTTAAGTGAAACAATACCACTCTGCTTTAAGTCGGTCCTTCACATAAAAATAGAATACTTGTTGATGAGTAAATTGTGTGAGAGGCTGAAATCACAAATCTGTACTGAAGATGGAGATCCCTAGATTGAGATGAATTGCACAGGACACATTTATTGTCTTGCACATTTTCCAGCATATCATTAAAATATGATATGATTGATCACTTCATTGTAAGGTGAGTTTACGACATAAATGAGGGATTCTGAAGTGTTTGAAAATGTAAATTGTATCAGTATGAGATTTCATAAGCATTAAGAAACTTTAAAAATGGATATATGATTTTGACATATTTTCAGGAAGAAAAGTTTGAGAAAATTTAAAACTCACATTGATATATATAAACACAGGGATGGCTAGCATAAATAAAGGCAATGTTTAAAGGAGTTAAATAAATAGCCTTGATAAGTTCTTTTGAATTAATCATTAACAAATATCTTAAGGAAGAAAGAATTGACTTCAAGGTTAGATACTGAAAGTGTGTTACCAGTCTGTACTAATAAAGAGAGTTGAATGTATGTGTCTGGTAGTGAGCTGATATTATTGATAACAAGTCATAATATTTTGCGAATATTTGCGGGATAAAGATGTGTTTTCTTAAAATGTTACAATACATAGGTACATATTTATAGGAATTATTACTCTGCGTTATCTGTATTTTGTGAAGCAGAGATGTTAAATTTTTCAGCTTTATCTAAAATATGTTTGATATTCTATCAAAATGTCCTTTCTTTTGTACAAATGTTATTTTCTAATGTACAAACATTAAACATTATCATCATGCAAGTGCAAAAAATTAGGATGAATTTAAGTACATAAGAATGTATAATATATGTTTTGGAGTTAGAGGAATTATTAAATGATGTTGGTCTGATATTCAGTGTTGTATAAGACACTTAACTGTGATACATTGAGCAATACATCTCTGATTATAAGAAAGATATTCTAGTTTAGGAGCAATTCATTTATCATTTGATATATTCCACAATTTTTTCAAGATAGTTGTGAAATATGGATGTAATTCATTAATGCTTTATTCAATAAAAATAAAAAAACTTATGGTAACAGAAAGTAAATGCTAACAAAATACAGATGCTGTAGAGTATGAGAGGGCTTTTGACAATGACCAGTATATATCTTGTATGACTTGAAAGTGTATGTTAGTATCTGCTGTAAATATTGGGTTAAATACTGATTCGGAAGATCATCTATGAAAAAGGGACATTTTTAAAGAATATAAGGCGGTTCTGTTTGTGATCTGGGTTTGTGTATATCATGAATTCTACAAGCACAATTTGATATAACTTGTATGGCGTGAAAAGAAATGTCTGTGTGTTTAAGAAGCTGAGAAGAGAAAGTATTATTTATGTCAAGAACATTCTGAAATATTTTTCATGCATGACCATATCATTCAAGGATGAACCACTTCTGCTTTCTCCTTCATGATAAGTGTAAACATACTCCGTATGTCAATACAATACAAACTTACTCATTGTTGTTGTTAAATCATTGCTGAAATTAACATAATAAGACCACGAGAAATAAGTGTGAATTGACTCGCGATCAGAACTCGGTCTGATTTGACTCACGATCAGAACTTTGTCTGAATTGACTCACGATCAGAACTTGGTCTGAATTGACTCACGATCAGAACTTGGTCTGAATTGACTCGCGATCAGAACTCGGTCTGAATTGACTAATTTTTCCATGGTTTGAATTTTGATTTTGGAATATGACATTATAATGGTTTTATTAGACGTTTGATATCAGCGTAGTGTTTTCTGATCTTTTATTGAATGCATAATGTACATGCATTTCAGTGTATGTATTATACTTTGTAATGCATAAATATATAAACAAACGAAATGGAAAAAAGTGTTATTTGATTTAAAATTTACTTAACTGGTACATTTTAAAATTCATTTCCTGCCTTTTTATATATATAAAATCTTCAAACCTTACATGTGATTAAGTCATTAACAGATGTCCATGATAAAAGATTATGTATTTATTTATGTAAGCTGCAAGAACTGGATATGAATTTAGTTGTATATAATAAATACCAATTATGAAGCATAAATGATATCTGTGTTTATTCCTTGAAAAAAAAAGATATATAAAATGCATAAACGGTTCATAGCAAGTGCCATTAATATCAGTTTATCCTCTTTATCCGGAAGTCTGATCTAACACATTAAATTTTTTTATGGAATTGTGCCCCAACTTCCAATGTCTTGCAGTGAAAGCACAGAAATCTGAAATCCAGTCCATGCCAATTGTTTTAACAGTTTCACATCCATCAACATTGATATATTGCATACATTATGATGTAGTTGGTGTGTTGTAATGAAATATATTTATATTTTGTCTGATTTCTCACTAGGTATATCATCACAGTAAGTGTATTTTTTAAACCACAGTAAAAACAAAACTTTACCTGATGACTGATAAAAGTATGGCGAATAACTCCCATGTTTATTGGTAATTTAAAAAAAAAATAAGACAGTTGTTTAGAATTCTGATAAACTCTAATTCCATTGAAATTTCACTCATAATTATACAAGAAGTACTGCAAAACTCCAATACTTCATCAATTTTGTGACCTCATTATCAATGGCAATACTAAACCTCTTTCAAAGCATATATAGAACATTTTTCTTTTGGCCACCGATAACATGTTATCAGGTAATCAAGCGTTTGAGAGCAATTCTGAGAAACAGATTGATGAATGCTTGGCATTGGTTACAAGTGATGTATATTAAGTATGATTATACAACTGTTGATTATCAACAGGCTGTTTCAGATATGAGATCTTGTTTCTCTCCTCTCTTACTATGTCATCCTAAACTTTATTTTCCATTCGATGTGCCTCTTGACACACGTCCTGATGAGTCAGGTTATTGGGAGGACGTTAAAATCCTTAAACACTTTTATTATCTCCAGTTACCATTTTGCGCTCAAAGCAAACAAATGCAACTTGGAAAACCGGTAGAAAACAATAAAGGTATGAAAGTATGTGTGAATTATCAATGCAATAAGCTAACAACCTGATTTTTTAAACATTTTCAAACAAAAGATAAAAATGTGAAATAACATATCAACAGGCGTGTTAATGCGCCTCCATACCTGTTGTCAGATCAGAAACTGTAAGAACTCCAACATTCTTTATAAAATGCTTAGTAAACAATTCTTGATTGACATTGTTTTAGTTCTGAAGGCCAAACTGACAAAGTCAGTCATAATTAGAGATAAAAACATGCCTCTGTTACTGAAGAAATATTTCAAGCCAATCATTTAACGATTGTTGGCTGTTACAATCAGACTTCGATCGTTGTTCATTCTGTTTCTATTTCTGAAAAAAAGTAGATACATATTTTCTCATTTTCAAATAAAAGCTCCATTTTAGTTCCACTTGGTGCCTTTTTATTTTTTTCATTTTGAAATGTGACATTACTTACTTTGATCAAGATTTTACATTGCGAATGTCGATGATGGAGAATAAAATGTTATCTCTCCTGGAATGCATGGGTTTTAATCTCCTTGTATCTTTTTAAAGGTAACTTCTTTCTTCATATTTTACCCCATTTCAATCGCTTATGGATTAAGATTCAGTTGCCGTGACGGTATTGTTTTGTTCAGTGTTTGAGATTTAGCGAGGAATAAATTACCCATAATTCAAATGTATACTACTGATAAACCATGTGATATCGGCATTTTACCAGATATAAATATATAATTTTTGGGAACTTTTATTTACAGAAGTTAATAAAATTATTATTCAGGTTTCTACTTGAAATACGATGATAACCAATTTGAAAGTGAGGTTCATATAGTATATATCAATTATGGCAGTCGTCTAATTATATGCTATCATATGTATCTCTTCATGCATGTAATTAAGGACCACGCCGACATATACATTCCATATACCCTGATATCCCACCACAACACAACCAGAAGTGACATCTCTTTGATATTCGCTTCCCCACCTGGCTTATCTTTGACATTACAAAGATAAGTCCAGGTTGTATATGACAGTTGATGTAAATGATTCATAAAACCCTAGACCTTCCGGAACGTCAGGTCAGGTCTTGTAGAACTCTCGGCCATATCTCAGCTGACATGTTACCAGGTCCCACGACGTGGACGTGGTTCTACACGGGACCCGAATATTTGGAATAGTAAATCGTCTGTGTTGTAAATGGGTTGTTTTTAACTTTATTCAATTGCTTTATATTACCTACATTACAATATGAAAATCAAAGTTGTTAAAGATATTTTTCTTAATTAAAAAAAAGATTTTGAAATTGTTGGACCAACATTATCATTTAAGTCTATTTTCAGGGAAGCTATGTTCTTATCAACTACTGTATGATTTCATATATACTTTGTATATAAAAAAATACTGTTGTGTTATGTATTTTTATGCTATTTACTGAAAAAACAAGTATTTACTTCTTGTCTATTCAAAAGACATCTTACAGGAACAATAGAATTTAGCCCACGAACTAATTTAAACCAAACTGGGTACTATTAGTAGAACCTTGAGAGGCAAACAAGGAAATGAGTTTTAAGAATCCAAAAGGCCCCAGGGGCCTGTACTATAACTTATTTAATGTAGTGAACCACAGGTGTATACCAAGGGTCAGTTTTTGGTCCAAAAACCTATTAAATAGATAAAAACTTGTATTAATTTATACTATATTGTAATTAGCATGTTTACCTTTACATTGTGATGTCAAATATGTAACAAAAAACTGAAAGATAATTTCTATTGTTCCTGTAAGAGTGCGATAAAATGTTCCTGGATGCCATATGAATAAGAGTTTGGTGATAGATTTATTTTTCCTTTCTTGTAAAAACAACCCAATCAAAACAGGACATTTACTTTATTTTATATGTCCGAAACATGAATTGGTTCTGATTTCCAACGATAACCGTTGTATATATAAGCCAATCAACGTCAATGCTTTTGCTGAAACCACGAGGGCAGCATGCATCGACTAAATTATTTACATACGGTGTCTATTGTTATCTGATATATAAGCTGTGATGTCACACTTTCATGCGTGTTTTCAGCATGTTGTTATTGTTAAATTCACCATTCATGTAGAGTTTAAACATATCACATATAAAAATAGTGTTATAAGGAAACCTGGAACTTCAAATACTTTAACAAAGTACCATATATAATAATATACATACATTACATCATATATAAAACATTTAAAATGCTGAAAATGATTATATACAAACCTGACGCTGTTGACCAGGGCCTGTTTTACGTTTTGAACCGATAATGATAAAAATATACCAACCTTATACACGAAAGATCCATTGTCACGTGGTACAAAACTTATTTTAATATTATGATACACGAGCATAGGTAGCAACATATAATATACATATAGATTTATTAAGTCATCATGCATGTAAATAAAAATTGCATATATTTATTGCATCAAATTTGATAATAAATAAACAAAGGCATCTTATTCAAGAGTCAATGATTAGTCATACAGACGTTCTCATTTATATATGTCTAAAATCACGAGAAAAATCAATTGAACATAGGTATGTTAATATATTTTACTTTCGTAGATATCAATTTAATCTCAATATTATTACAAAGTATACTTTAAGTTCTAAATTCACTATAGATTACAAACATAAACAAAGGCACAAAAGGGTTGTCAGGTTTACCTGATTCGTTGAAGCACAAGACACGTGGTTGATTATCACAGTAGCTAACCACACCCCAACCGTCAAAAGGACAGTCTGCCAGGTTGGCCTCGGTACCAGAACATCCTAAATTGGCCATCCATATGGGTTCATTTGGTACACCCTGCCATCCCTCCAGTACCTTTCCACTACTGGAATTTAACAATCCTAACTCATTAGCATTAAGTCCCATACCAAACAATATATATAAAGTTTGCAATTTTTGTTTTTCTTATGTTATATATCGTTCATTAATGACACATTCGATTCTAATGATCAAATAACCATTTTTTGAATTTATGAAATTTACGGTCAAGAGGTCAAGGAGTCAAAAGATAAGTTGGGGTCAGTATTTCATGTAAATATGTATCGATACATATCAGGTAAATTTGGCAAAAAGAGAAATGGAACATTGCTTAAACGTTATATGATTTTATTAAATCTGTGGGGCTGAGATTAAAAGGCGGGGCCAAATAGGAGAAAATGGGATGGGGTCGTTTTAGAAAATCTTCTGTACACCTACAGATAGCAGAGGGTAATATCACATTTAATTATAATTATGAACAAGTCCTTTTCTTAGAATTGATGAAATTAATGGCCTTGAGGTCAAAGGGTCAAACTGACTTTTGGGTCTTGTCTTCCCATTATTGACTTGATTCCTGAGTCATAACCTCGGGGAAGTTATGATTTCAATCCAATCACCATATAACATTGCTTGAAATCAGGGAATAAAATCAAAGGGAATGTTAGAACTGATCCAGTGTTTTGGTCCCAACCCGCGTCTGGGATTTAATTCTTCAGCCTAATCCGGACATAGTCGTGACTTTGAAATGTTTGAGATACCACAACTATAATCATGCAGATTGGGCAGAAAGAACTGTCTTAATCCCGTGGTGGTCTTAAGAGAAGTTTCACTGTTAACGACAAATTAAATGTCTTACATGTTCAATAAATATGTTTCACCTGTAATGAAGCATTCTGCAAGCGACTGTAGCATCACTGTCGTTAAAGGTGTTCTTTGCTGAACAAACAGTTCCCCAGTGTCCACCGTAGTATATCTCCAGTCGCCCAGCAGAACTGTTGAGTTTGTCCACTAGGCGAATATCTACTGTAGAAACTGCTCAAAGAAAACGTATGAAAGTTACCTGTCAAATAATAATGTGTGTACGGCTTTCTTCCCTTTATACAACAATTGTTGTTGTCCGATAATAGATACAAGAGGCTCTATAGCCTATCATATTTACTCAGATATGTCAGTCTGAAAACCAAAAACAATTGTAGAAAAAATCACCGTTTAATCAAAACCGGTGCCTGTACCAAATTTCAATTTTCTTTAGGAATTAGAAAAAAAATCCGCTA